TTCCTATTTTATATTTACGCAGCATCGTTAAGGCTAAAAAAAAGGAGGCTGGGCCTAATTTTTGGGGGGGGGGGGGGGGGGTTACTTGACGTCACAAAAATATAACTTTTATGCATTCCTCATAATATAAGAAAATAAAATAATGTGCAGCTTAAAACTGTATTAGCATAATAAACAACAATAAAACTTATCAATGCATTTAAAAACAATTTCCGTTTTTGCACTTCTACTTTCCGTTGATTTTTCAAAGTAAGCCTTAACAGTGCTGCGAAAAAACTGCCCCATATTATTGCAGAGAAAACAAATATTAAAATTCTTATTTTAATACCTTCACCAAATTACATTTCCACTTTCGCAAGGATCTAGGAAAACATTAATATATGCTGTACCTGTCACTTGGATTATCTTTTCCGACCGATACCAAGAAGTATTCATTAAGTAACTTTTTAGTTGATCATGTTGTGTTTAGAGAATTTGGCTATGCCAATAAGGTCTGTTAATGGTACCCATGGGAATGTGGCTATGCTAAAATCACTTTCCAATAACGGACAGCAATTGTTACCTATGATATTTTAGATTGTTGGAAGACCTGGTCACCAAAAACCACATACATGTAGATATTGTCAATAAGAAACCCAAGCATCTTTTTGATGTCAATTTCAGAGTACGCGTGTGTGTGCAAATAGAATGTGCTTTATCAAGTGGCTAAAGGGTGCGAGGGATGGGTAAGAAGCAGATACCGTGGCTATTATGTGTGATTCATATGAGCTTAAAGTTTATTAATCAGGTATATTAATTTATATCATTGGTTATGTTTTCTTTCGACAGTCAGCTATTTACATGTATGTTTCCCCGTCAGCCTATTGATAGTTTTCCTTTTAACTGCGGCTTTGATTAATCATCAAGCTTATTTCTCTTGAAAGAGTGAAATTTCTCAAAAAAAAAATGATAAAAAGATTTTAATGCTTCCTTATCATACCTGGGTTAATTCTACCAAGCTTACTTTGACATTTTACAGCTACATGAGATCCTGATGGACAGCCAGATGGTCCTTTTGGACATGTATTTATGTTAACTTCATTGCCTGTACAGTTCAAGACATTCTCATAAAATGCAGTCGATGAATTATCTTCAGCTACGTTATAAGATGGATTATCTCTAAAAAAGGTCAAATAATAGTTTTTAGAAAATATTATAAGTACAGAAAACAACACATAGAAATTCAAACGCTAAAAAGTATCTTAGATGATATGTTAGGGGAGGAACATTTTTGTTATCTAAAGTTTTTATTTAAAATAAAAGTATCTTGAAAGTATCTTAAATTTTTAAAAAGTACACCCAACTTGTAAAAGTAGCATTACATGTAATTCAATGACAAACTATTGGGACAAAATATATCATTTAGGAACCCATCGTCATTTCTTACATGTACATGTACAGGGTACACAATTTAAGATTTTCCATTTAAGATTATATTTGATATTTAATCTTTTATAATTTAAAATCCACATGGCTGATTTTCATTCAGCTAGTCAGTTCTTTTTTTGTTCAAGCCCTCTCTAAAACAGATCTGCAGAATTTGATCCAATTGCTTTAATAGAATGATATGAAAATCAACCTAAATGACTATAAATCTTCTAGTATATGTAGACACGCGGCTAGGATACGTTTGTCCGTAAAATATCAAACAGATCAGTCTGTAGTAACTTCTCTGACCTTCATAGATTTGACGTCATAATAGCATATGACGTCATGTCACTAAGTTTTACATTCCTTTCATATTGCATGTCGATTTTTTTTGGCGATGTTGTTTCATTCAATTGTTTGGATTGTTTTTAAGCTCCAGAGTGCTGTTATGATGTTAAACATTTGAAAATTATACATCTACATTTTTCCGCTTGTCCGATATGCACCAATGTAAACAGTTGCGAAAAAATGAATGTGAAATGCTCCCCTAACACATCAGTAGACAGAGTTAGTTTGAATCGTGATTTTATATATATGACTAGCAAAAAGTAATTAAAAAGGATACATTGAAGATATTCTGTGTGAATCAAAAACAAAAATAAGTCCTCTATTTGTATTTTGCTGGGGGTTGTATGTAGTTTATTCATTTTTGTATAATCGCGATAAACAGTGGAAAATACCCTTCTTATTTAGTGAGTTGAATTTATCGTAAGATATTTTCTTAAGAAGTAAAACTCAAAGTTGCCCCCCAGCACTTTTTATGTGCTAGAGATTACGATGAATTGATCTATGTAGCAAACTTTTCAAAATGATTTAGTTTTGCATTTGTGCTGACACAATTTTTGTGCAATATTTATATCTGAAATGTCTGTCACGTGATCAACAAAGTCATGTGACAAAAATGCTTTATTATAGTACCTGATTAAACTCTTAAGACAAGCTGACTGCAAATTCAAACAAGGATTATACATTGAAATTAAAATCCAGCTCAAAATAAATCGTATATTTTTATAATGCATTTTTAGCCTTCGGACAGTCTTATCATAACTCTGAATGGGTATGAATTCTTATAAGTTTTTCCGTGGCATAGTGTCTTTGCGAAATATATTGCAATATTGATTTATTTGAAACTATTATGGACATGCTAGGTTGTACTTTTTAAAAACCCCTTTCAAGAAGATCACAAATATGCATTAAAATACGCATTGCAATTAAATGACAGTGTAGAATTGTTTTAAAATAAAAAAAAATAATTTTTAATAAAAAGATGTACAGGTACATGTGGAAAGTCCCATCAGGATAAACTATGCAATCAATATTTCAAATGATAATTAAATACATATACTTACGGTAAAAATCCCCAAGCCAAGCAAACGACCTGTGCATCATTTTCATCAAAGCTATTTGAACAAACCCTTCTTAATGGACTGGCAGCAAACACTGTTCCGTTTCTTTTTGAATCCGGAAAGAGACCAGAGTCAGCAGATCTTATTGAGATGGCATTGTGACCCACTAAAAGTGACATATATATGTATAAGTCTATTATCATTAAAGATATTAAGCTATTCTAGAGGATTTTTTAACAAAATCGTACGAGGATAGCAACTATTTTTATTTCTGTGTTAGCAAAAGCATGATAAATTCTTCTTGGCAAATGAATAAATACTTGACTGTCTTAAGATAAGCACCCTAAACGATACAATCTATAATATCGATTCATTGCCTGAGAATTAACGAATAATTAATGTTCACGTCAATGCAACTAATGTATTGCGTTTGACAACTTTCATTTTAATATGAAATGAGAGAATCATAACAAATATTTTTAAATGCTTACAACCCCCATGTAAGATTGATATTGATGCAATATTTTTCTTCTCTCCTAAGTCCACTGTTAACCACGCCTCCTTCTGACCGGAAGCTGTCAGTGCACAGTCCAGTAGGTATGTACTCTTGTCCCCGTCCACAGCTTTACTTGGTGAAAAGTATCCATCATTGTATCTACTACTGACCGTCACAATTTTTCCCCTGGCAAGATTTTCTAAAAAGTAATATTGTATTTTATTTATTCCACTCCTGTTCCATCTTTATTGACATATTTTAAAACGCAACTTTTATGCTATTTGATTTCTAATATTCTTAAAAATAAGATGATTTCTTATATTAGCTAAAAATATTTTTTGTTTTGTTTATTTCTTGACTTTCTTCTTAAAATCTTTAATAATGAATTTTAATACGTTTGATGTTTTCGTACAACTTAAAAATATAACAGAAATGAAAACCTACCATATTGTTGAGAATTGAGAAGTAACCGGCTGAAGATAAATAGAAAATTTATGATATCAAGGTCCATAATGTATTAATTAAGCAACACTTCCTCCCTGTTTATATTGGAACCATCCTCTCTTGTGAAATATCCCACGTTATCAAGTAAAATACTCCTGCTTTGAAATTATATTTATCTAACACTGTTTTAAGGACTGCATTGATATATAAATGGTTTAAGAAAAGCTTTTTTTTCATACTCCCGGAGCTATGAAATATTTAAATCATGCTTCTTTGTTACTTTGTCAATTTCCGGTTTGTTGAACAAGTAACTTCAGATATAAAATTTTTGTAACAGGAAGGTAAATTTCAAACTACAGCCAAACGTACAACTTTATGAGGAATACTTTTTTAGGTGTTTTAATTTATTTCTGTTCATATGTTCAGACTATGAAATAATGAAATAAAATTTCAGGCTAAAGCATTATATGAGTAAAATATGATGCACAAGTCCTTGTTTATATGGAAATGGCTAAATGAATATAAAAGTTAAGAAAAATAATTTCAAAATAATTTCACAAGTCTTTTTCACAAAGAAAAATTTACACAAGTCAGTTACATTTTTAAAGTTTGACGTCAAATAATGCAAGATGTAAAATATGGGAAGTAACATGTATCTTAAATCGGGGAATATTTTTTTCTTCACATTTACAGCATGAAAAGGAATATATACTTTATAAACAGTAAGTATATTTAGGTAAAATCTTCGATTCTATGCAGCTTTATAATTATAATGTAAGTATCAAAATGAAATTTAGGGGGAAAACGAACAGTATTCAAGGTCAAAAATCCAGAAAATAATACAAAATATGAGCAGTGCAAACACGGAAATAGTTTTTATAAGAACCATTTTAAACATGTCACCTGATGGGTGATAAGAGTTGTCTGTATAAGTTCCATGTCTTTGCTATTAATTCATGTAGTTAACTCCTAACTTTGCTCTAAAAATAAAATTGATATGCTAAATTTATGTTTATGGTATGCCCTCTTTTAGAAACACATAATCAGGTATACAAAAGTAAAGTTTTATGTTGGAATATGTTAAATACATGTGCTAACAACTGTCTTAACTTGACTTGACTTCCCTATACAGTCCCTGAAACGTTCTACGTTCCCATTTTTCCGTTCGCTCACCGTTCGTTCAGCATTCGTTCACCGTTCGTTCAGTGTGCGTTCACCGTTCGCTCTCCCTTCACAGTTTTGAGTTCACCGTTCACCGTGCGCTTGCGTTCACCGTTTACAAAACGTTCACCGTTCGCTCTTCGTTCCGTTTACTTTGCGTTCACCTTGCGTTCACCGTTCAGTTATCGTTCAGAATTCATTGTCATTCGGAACTCCGAGTTGCAAGTACTTATCTTTTTTATGGTAAGGATTTATACGTTTTTAAATAAATAACTAATTATAATTTCTTTTACACTGTTTTGTATTCCCCTTTGCAGTTTTATAAGAATAAACTGACCCAAATGAGGTTATTCTCGAATAATTTGGTAAATCAATAGTGTCATATTTTAAATGTTATTGACACAGTTAGAGAAGGACTCTTATTCTTGGCCAAATTATCGGGTATAACCTGGTTTGGGTCAGTTTACGCAAAGCGGATTAGAAAAAGCGTAAACTGATCCAAACAAGGTTCAACTTGAACAATTTGGCCAAGAATATTAATCATTCCTAATAATTTTTTTTTGAAATAATTAAACAACTGTGAATGTAAAATTGTGTTCCTTTTCGTGGGTTCGAAATTGCCGCTAAATAATACAACCATAGTTATTGAAGCTATAGGAAGCGAGGGGAGGAAATAAATGATAAATAGATCTAGCAGCAATGATGTTCTTTTACGTCAGGTATGATCAAGCGACTGTTAGAAGATAAAGGTACATTTATTACATCTGGAATTGTCCATGGAAATTACGGGATTGCATGGATACAGTTGATTCAGCTGGTTGTCAAAGGGGTGTCTCCCCGTACCAACCTAGATTATACAGAATAATTTGCGTTCCTTTTTGGAAATCAATCAATAAGAGGCTAGAATAGAAACAAAAGGAAATTCTTGGGTTATGTTTTTCAGAATACCTTTTTCACAAAGATTTTAAAGATGTATTGCGCTTAAAATTTAAATGACTGCGTTAAATTGTCTGAAATGAAATTAATGATTGAAATATAAATTAAAAGATGTGTACAGGTACATGCTAAAAACAGACATTTGATCGCTTTTAATTATCATAATCAGGATGAGCAATACTATAGATCTCTTTCAAATGATAAGCATATGCTTACGGTAGAAATACCCAAGCGAAGCAAATGACCTGGGCATCCTTTTCATCAAATCTATTCGAACAAATTCTTCTTAATGGATTAGCAGCAAAGACTTGTCCGTCTTAATTGGAATCAGGAAAGAGACCAGAGTCAGATGATCTCATTGAGGATGCATTGAGACGAACTGAAAGTGACATATGTATGTTTCAATCTTTGAATATTAATGATTTTAAATTATTTATGAGGATTCCCCCCCCCCTAAAAATCCTTCAAAATAGGAACGGTCAAATTTCGATTTCTGTACAGTCAAACATTTAACCTTAAAGTTATCCTGGCAGATATATACCAGACTCTCTTGGAATTATTCACACTTTGATTGATACTTCCTTTGATATTAATGCAAAATTCGCAATGCAACGAACAATAAATGTTCATCTGACGTCGATCAATGTATTTTGTTTAATATATAAAATAGTATTATTAAAACGCCAGCTTACAACCCCCATGTAAGATTGATATTGATGCTATATTTTTCTTTTCCCCGAGACCTACAGTTAACCACGCCTCCCTCTGACCGGAAGCCGTCAGAGCGCAGTTCAGTAGGTATGAACTCCTGTCCCCGTCCACGGCTTTACTTTGTGAAAAGTATCCGTTATTGTATCTAGTACTAAAGCAATTTACCATAGGCTGGGTATAAAGCATGAAACGCATAACAAGAGATGAAAATATGATAATATAAAATGCGGAAGTTATTTTCCACTATATGGCTTTAATCTTTTTTTTTGTCTAATATGGAGTCCAAAATATTTTATCTGTTTTTATGACTTGTCAACTTGTTGATAATGCTGAACAATACGGTAAGTAATTATCTATATAATACTGTCAACATCTCAAGTAACCAAACTTCCGCATTTTATATTATCAAATTTTCATCTCTTGTCATGTGCTTCATGCTTTATACCCAGCCTATGGTAAATTGTTTTCTAGATTTAATGTTCTTCTTAGCAGGTGCAACCTATGATTAACATGAGTCAACATGAGATATTTAGTTATCCTAGACATCGGACGTCTTTCTCCTGAATTTCCAGGGGTCTGATTACATGGGCTTAACAACCTGCATCTTTTTATTTGTAGGTTTTCTGATATCAATCAATATTCTTTTCTGTATATATTTATTATTAAGTATACATTAAATGATCATGTTTTAGTCAAGCATATTTTGTAAATTATTCTTCTTCATCACAAACCATTTTGTTGTTTTTGATCTAAAGCTCAGTCTACTTAGTATACAATTTCTTAAAATTCCCTTTTTTATAAATCTTAACAAAATAATTTATGAACAGAGAATTGAACTTTAAAAAAGGAAACCAAAAGAGCTTATGTGTCAATTATCTATACAAAGACAATTAGTTCCTTACTTAGTGTTGTATAAAATTTATAAATTGAGCACGTTTTCGGAGGATAATAAATGAAAGAAACTGTGCTTGAATAAACGCATGTGTTGCTTGCATTAAAGTATTAGGAGAGTTAATCTAAAGAAAGGATGATTATCTACTCAACTATGTTAAGGGAGGTCCAAGTTCACATTCGTGGTGCACCGTAATGGAAGTTTAATTGGTACCAAAATAAAAAATTTAGCAAGCAACGAAAATTAAAAAAAAAAACGAACCACTATATGCTGCGTTGATAGAAACGAAAATTCATTTATTTTCTCAAATATTTATAAAATCTTGTAAAATTGCAATACTTGATAACAATACTGTCGAGTAATATAAGAAAGTGTCACAAGACGAAAGACCACCTTTAAGCAATCGCTTAATGGTAGCTTAATGGTGACTTAATGGAGGCTTAAAGAAGTTAATTCATTAAGCCATTAAGCCACCATTAAGCTGCAACTTAGAGGTGCTTAATGACCAAACTTCATTAAGATACCATTAAGCCACCTTTAAGCTGAGCTTAACGGTAACTTAATGGTCAAATCTCATTAAACTTTTACGCATCTTATATCGAATCTTTGAACTAACCTTTTAAAAGTTATTTCGATATCAATTTCGCAAAAAATATTTCAACTCATCTTTTTTTTCTCGACTGTCATTTCTATATAATTTAATTTTGTTTTTATTCATAATTTGAACTCATAAAAAGCAGAACAAGTTTACACCCACAGTTGTTTAATTATTTTAAAATTCCGTTTCGCGGATTATAAAGTGTAAACTGACTCAAACCAGTTTATAATCGAATAATTTGGCCAAGAATTAGAGTCATTCCTAAAGTAACATTTTTGTCAACATGCATAAACTCGGGCACTAAGAACAAATTAGCTAATAGCCACAGGGGCTTGCTCGCAGTGTCTAATAATTATTTATTTTACAAAATCATTTACAGTAAATTGAATAATGAAAAGGATAGGTTTTATCATTACCGTATATGATTTTTTTAAAAAGTAAAAAATAATTACATGCGTTGTTTTTAGTATAAGCGTATATGATTTTTGTTTTAAAAAATAAATAATTATAATGTTACACACCGGGAGCAAGCCCCTGTAAATATCTTAATTTTTTACTACTGAAAACCAATTTGTTCCTAAAATTATCTTTATATCCATGAACAAAATATATTTCAATTTTTTAAAAAAGATGGCATTTTTATTTCATGTGTTAAAAGCAACATTCTGCTACAGAATTCACAGGAATATAAAGTCATGTTCTCATGATAAAAAATATCTTTTTTTCTTTTTTTTTCTTGGGGGTAGCGGTATAAAAATGTTTAGTTTTCAAAGATTGACTTTAGCATCATGAATGATTTGAATTAATTCGTTATTTTTTATATAATGCAGCGGTAAGTATCTGTCAAAATCTAGTCGGTCTTCACTGATTGTTATTTCAAAATCAATTTTCAAAGAACAGCTGATCAGATTAAACATGACATCCGACCAGATTTATA